CGATGGAGGATGCTGGGACCTGATACTAGCACTTGAGGTCTGATCTGACCTACGGACCAGCTTTGCATTCCTCATCTGACCCACGGGCCCAAAAGTTTTAGTGCCACTGGCCTAGAGAAAATATGTATGGGATCAGGAGAAGAGCCAGTCAAACGAAAATTGATTTAGTGAGAAGGCAAATGCCAAGGAGAAAGCTCCTTATAAAGTGCTATGAAATCTACAGATGAAACGTGCTACATAAGCATCACTGTGAAAGAAGCATCCTTAAAGGCATTGAGCTCTATAACATTTCTGGTGTGGCTTCTCACATATTTTTCTCAAAGTGCATTATTTTCTATCAGTTTGCTAGGAAGAGTGAATCAAAGCTTTTAAAATACATTTTTTTTTAACTATATCTTTAAAATGTAGACCCACAAGAGCTGAGTGTCACATCTCTAAAGGGAGTTAGGTACGTACTTCCCATTGAAATCAGTAAGTGGTAAGTGCCTTAATTTCTTTACAAATGTGACCCTATGCTGCTGTTTCTGATATCCAAGAAGTTTATTGCATCTGAAGGTTTTCCTACCCCTTGTAGGCTTTCCAATTTAATTCAACCATGCCGCATTCTGCCATTGCCTCAGAGTGCTTGTGACAGAGTTGAATGCCTCCCTGCTTGTCTCAACTCCAAAACAGTCCAGTTTCCATCACTGGACAACAACATCACTGGTAACACCTTAGCTTTTCCCATCACTTATGTAGTGAGGTGGTATAAGGTAGGCAGCTATGAAGCATAACAGAGTTGTGAGAGGCAGCAAAATGAAGGTCACAAAAATCAATGGCATTAACACCATCACTTCTCAGGAAGTATTCACTGCATAGGCAATGTTCATTTTTGCAGGGAGCAACTTCCACCACAGCCATAGGCTAACTACAGGGCTGAAGTTCTAAGCACCACCTCAAACCTCAGCATTTTCCTTTCCAAAAGCAAGGCACACTCCTTTCACCTCACCTCTCACTAATAAAAGCTCCAAACATATCAAAACCAAGCAAGCAAACAAACAAACAAAAACCCACATAGGATTTTTTTCCCCCAGGGAGCAAAACGGTGAAGGAAGCACACATGACAGGTGCTGGTCACGTTGCTTATTGCATCCTTGGAAGGCAGTCAAATACCACAGCTCTGGGTGTGTTACAAGAACCTCAACAAAATAGCATAGAAAAATAGTGGAGGGCTCCTCCCTAAGACATCTAGAGATACCCATGAATGCAAGAGCTTCTACACTTTTCTGGCAATGCCCCATTTCTGATGTGAATGGTAAAGTTGTTCTCTGTGCCCTGAGAACTGCTTTCACTGCTTGAGGACCTCTAATCCCACTATTATCTCCACTCTTAGAGTTGGTGTCTCCCAAAATTAGTAGCGTCGAATGGCAGCAAACAAGAGCATAGCACCAACACAGCATACTAGCACCTATGAAATTTGGTCCCCTTGTCCTAAGTCTCTTGGTTGCCTATATAATTTACCAAGGCTGCTTGCATGGAGAATGACTAACCAACCTTTTATTTATATGACAAAAATGTATCAGGCAAGGATACAAGGTGAATCCTGAAGTTTTCTGCATCTGTGACTTATTTTGGGACAGAGTCTAGTTAGATGTATCATAGCTTTACACTATAGTAACTGGGCATGTCTACACATGTACTTTAATGCACAGTAGCCTATTCAACTGCACATTAAAGCGTCACATTAAAAAACATGCAAATACACTAATGTGCAGTAAAATCAGCTACTGCACATTAAGCAGCACTAAAAAAGTGTGCACTTTTGCTATTGCACATTGGGCAGCCTAATGAGCGTTTATTCAGTACCTCATATTGGAGGTACTAAATTTAATGTGAATTAGGAAAAGTGCAGTAATGCATATGTAAACTCACCCACTGAGAACGTATTTGCACTCTCTGGGGCTAGAAGAGATGGCAGCTAGAGAGAGGGGTCTTTTTACCCAATAGCGGGTGCATCTACACTTGCTATTAATGCAGTAATAGGCTTACTGTGCAGTAAAATACTGCACAGTAAGCCTTCCCTGGGCATGTGTCTAGATGTGCAGCCTTTTGAGAAGAAAACTGCTTCCAACCAGAGCAGCCCGGTACAAGGCTGCTCCTGCCCTGCTATGCTCCCCTGCAGTAGCCAGGGTGAGATCCAGGCTTCCTCAGGCTGGTGGGGGGTACTAGGGCTGGTCCAAATGTGCACAGGGCCAGGAGAGCTCTGCTGGCTGCCACAGCAGCTGTCCCCTGGCCTCATGCACATTGAGAGGGAGCCTGATGTGCATGGGGCTGGGAGACAGCAGCAGCCGCAGCCAGCAGAGCTCTCAGCCCCATGCACATTGGGGGACACAGCTGCTCCTAGTCCTGTACCCAATGGGGCTTCCCTGCCCAGCCAAGAGTTCATTGGCAGCGGCACTCATTGGCCCACATTGTCCCATTCATTGGCCCCAGGAGTGGGACAGGTCCCGGCCAGCCTGACTGAGCAGGGAAGCAGAGCTCCCCAGTCCTCGGGGGGCAGGGTGTTAGGACTTGGGGGGAGGTGGAAGCCAAGCAGCTCCAGGACTGGGGACAGAGAACTTCCCATCCCATTGCCCCCTGCTAGTGTGGCAAACTGGGATCAAATTTGCTCCCAGTCAGCCTCTACATGAGCACTACTGCACATTTAATCTAGTACCTGTATTTACAAGTACAGTATAACTTCATACATTCAGATATCAAAAGTCCAGAATTCTCAAAAATCTGGCACTTTGGGAAGTGGTGGTGGCTGTGTCCTTGAGCAGTGGGGGAGGAGAAGGGAAAGCTTGCACACAGCAGCTGCCCCCGCCATCTACCACCCCACACCGCTGCTCTGCCAGCTTCAGAAATAAAAAATCCAGAATTTTCAAATTTCTGGCAGGTGCTTGGTCCCAAGCATGCCAGATTTATGAGGTTATACTGTACTAGCTAACTGCACAGTAGACTAATTTACTGTTCACTATACACCACACATGTATAGACAGTGATGCTTTACTGCGCAGTAAATAAGTCTATTTTGCAGTAAAGTGTCGTGTGTTGACACACCCAGTAAGGATGATAATCAGTTTTGTAGTTGCCTTGTTCACTGCACACTTTCTATTCTGTGCTATGAATTAACCAAGAGGATTGAGACACAATATGGCACCAAGGACATTCAAAGGCATGAGGTGGGACAACGCTGTTAAAAAAAAACCAAACCAAACCAAACCAGAGATTTAACAAACTTTAATGCAGCCAGAGTCCTACTTCCCTGCTCTTCTATTTTTCCCAGAAGACACTACCTCTTCCCCAACAAAGCATTTTGTTCCTATTTCCCTTCAGGCAGCTACTCTGAAAGCAGACTCACTTGCAAGATACCTGGTCAGGGAGAAACAGATCACTACATTATATGATGATGTCATTAAAGATGGTTTCACCATTCATATTTCACCATAAGGGAGCAGTATTAAAGCACAGGTGATGTTAACTTTGGTATTTTTTGATTTCTAAGTGAGCAACGCTGCCTGTTTCTTTAAGTAATTTTATGTTGTATTTGATATCTAGTATGAGAAAAACCTCAGTAATGGGGTGACATACACATGATGGATAGAGCTAAGGTTTACATTCTTTTTAATCCATTGTGGCTAACTGCAGCCATAATATTTTCATAACTTCAGATTTGCCTACACTAGAGGCTGAGCCAGGACATAACTATGCCAGGAGAACCCCCTAGTGGAGATATAGTATAGGGCAGCAGGAGTTTTTCTACCAGAAGCCATACATCTTTTCCTTGAAATACATGAACTAAACTGTCACAGGCACTGTATTTGCATAGTTGTACTTACATCAAGGTTTTTGATGTATGATTAGTTTTATGCTGCCGTCTTTATGATGAGGAAAGTTCCTAGGGTAAAACAAGCCTTACATTTTCAAATATAATTTACAACATCTTTAGAATGAAAAAGAAGGAAGAGGGGAAACATGACAATGGAAGTTTGTTTCTGTTCCCAGGTGTTCGATTTTCTACTGGCTTACAAAAAAATGGCAACAGGTTTGGTAAATGCCACCATAACCAATACAACAACACCCCATAACATGGGGCATCAGAGGTCTGGAAAGGGAAGAGCTTGCTCTCCTGAAAATGCTGACTTCCTCATTGCACTTGGCAGCATGGGAATGAGCCTCCTGCTGAAAATCCTCAGTTTAGCAGAACCACACCCTGCTTTATAAGATAGGCAAAGGCTCTCTACCCTTCACATAAAATGTAGTATTGCTTTCCCTGATGCCTGCTATTTCATTTGGTTGCAGGCACTGCAGCTGTGTGAAGGTCTCATTGGTTTAAACCAACTGTCTGTCCTGGTGAAGCTCCACATAGATAAAGGATATTTGCCAGGTCAGTGTCTTTCTTGTTTTTCCTGTTTTACTATGACCTGACTAGTCTATGTAATATTAATAAGACATGTTTAATCTTGGGGCCACAGCCTCCATATTGCAGACCTATCTCTGCAACTCTACAGGTTGTTGGCAATGCATGCTTCCTTGACTCTAAAGCATAGAGATATCACTGCTCCCTGCCCCATCCTCTTGCAACGCCAAAACTCCTAAGTTGTGTGTCAGGCTGGGGAAAAACCGTGCTCAGTAGATGCACCTTTGACCACTAAGTGGATCGCAAAGTGGGAATCTGCTCAGTCACTCATTACTTTTGTTTGGAACCACAACTTCCAGCCCTACTGACGAATATACACAGCTGGGGGAACAACCTTAGCAGTAACACAGAGCAGCTCTGAAGTCCCTGAGGTAAAGGGAGAGCTACATAAGCAGTATAGCAGAAGGGGACATTTGGAAACATAAAGCTGTGATCTGCAGCATTATTATTATTTTTTTGCTACTCATTGGGCCCTACATTGCTTCAGCCCACACCCACGTGGCCCATAAGTCATTCACCCCTTAGTGAAGAATAGGGTAAAAACACAGTTTGAACAGTATTATTAATATATATTTTTAATCTTACTCTGGAATTTTTCCCACGATAGCAGTGTGTGGCTCTGGCTTTTAAAAATTCCAACTAGAAGTAGTTACACAGCACAAAATGCAGGCAGTGGTTTAAATGAAATTCTTTTCCCAACAAACAACACAGTTCTGTTTCTTAGTGCTGCCCGTAGAATTTTTTTGTTTTTGTTTTTAGTACAAAACAGGCGGATACTCTCTCAACCAACCCACTGTTTAGTGCAAAAATCCAATGCTGGGGAGCTATAGGCAGTAAAACACCACATGCTGACAGACTAAATGGCTTCCAGTTGAAAGAAGATGCATAGCCCCAGTGGACATACAGAAACATTTCTCTCCTAATATCCCGACACATAATAAACTTCACACACTTGAAAATAGTCTTATTACAGGCACTGACCACAAAAAGCACACCTTTGGAATATTCAAATATCCTTAGTCTTTAGAATTCATTAAAAAAAGAGAAATAAAAGTCATTTTTTATAGGAAGCATACATCCTGCTGATAGAAATTAAAAGACATCTATAATTTTAAAAGGCACAGTTGGCCCACTTACAAAATAGTTAACCATATAAACATATCATTTTAAATATTAAACTCTAGCATCCAGCAAAGTTGCTCAGCACTTTTCATACTTTAAATATAAATTGTGTGGCTAATACATAAAATCTCTGTGGAGCTATCCATAGTTACCCAGTTTTAAAGAGTGACTAGAGATACCAAAACATGATTTCCCTACATATTTGTAAAACCATTACTTAAATTTAGGGCTCAGTTTAGTAAAGAATTATGCTGTGTTAATGCTTCTATGGAATTTAGTCATAAAAAGTTCAGACTGTACTAAAAACTAATTAATTCTGTGGTTTTGGTATTCATTGAAGCCTCCGTCCCCCAGCGTACAAATAGCTAACATTATGCCCTGAAGGGTATGTGTGCCAAAAAGGTGGAAAAGGATATTCTAAGCTCAAAAAACTATAGCAGAGTATGTTTATTAAAAAAAGGAAACTTTCTTAAATAGCTTGAAAGATAATAGAGCTGCCTGCAGGCAGCTTTAACTTGTATTCTGGTTATTTATGGGGTCTTACTAGGCAGCTATGTATTACTCTGGTTAAAATAAACACTTACCTCATCAATACCTTCTATATATTGTCTCTTTATCTTTAAAAATAACATTTATATTTTGTATATTCAGATGCACATTAAACTTTATCTTTCTCTATAAAATTACCTAAACCGGTGGGGAAAAAATTAGTGTTAATGAAGCTTCTCTGAATGTTATATTTTCATCTGGGTTACCTGTGAAAGATCCTTCCCTTCACTGATACTGAATGACCTATACATTTGCACATTTACCTGATTTTTCCCACATTCTCCTGCTCAAATATAACCCACAAATATTTTGTGTTTAAATTGGGTACTCATTATACAGTCTGACTTCTTTGCAACCATTTCCATGAGAAAAACATTGAATACCCATATAACTTGTTTGTTGAATTGAACCCTTGTCTTAATAGAAATAGTAACATGAAAAAAATAGCTCATCTTCATCTTAATAACTGTTTTTGTGATAGCAATAAGGTTAGTTTGTATTTCATACCAGTAAGTTGCCTGCTGGGGAAGTTGTATACACCAAGTGCAGTGTTTGATATTAGAGTAACTATACCGTATCCATGTAAAATATACAGCAGACAACTTCTGAACATGGGTGAAGTTTTAAAATACAGGAGAAATATTTTACTTGCTATTTTTGGAAACATTTTTTGTTTTGATTTTTAAAAAAAAAAATCAAGTCTCAGGAAAAAATATTGAAGCCGACTTGCATAGATGTAAAAATCATTTTGCTGCTTTTATGGTTTTTTCTGTGTTACAAACAGAAGATTAGATTCATTAACAATGCACAAGCACAAGAGTTTGTCAATTAATTTATCATATTTTTAAATAATTCATAGAACTCCCAGTCTGCTTGCTTTGGTCAAGTTGTCAAAGAATTTTCTTTTAAAAAGTGGTCCAGTATATACAGTAAAGGATATTTTGTTATTCAAAACCTTCGTCAACCATGGGATTTATCTATATATAGTTCTCATAGCTGTCAAGGAGGAAAAAATAAACTTCCAAGGATTTAAAACAAGCCAGAAATGTTGCCACAGGCTCTTAATATTTCTTGCATGTAGGTAGAATGTGCATGGAAGACATCCATCCACCTTTTTTGTGCAGATACTAGCTCACATTTTCAGTAGTTCAGGAATGAGGGTTTTTTTTCCCCCCCATCATGAAGCCTGACTCATCTCTCATTCATTTGGCCTTTAGCACCAAGGCTATGGTTATGTCCCCACATACTGATAGATCAAATTTCTTGTTCATGTGACACTATTTGAGTGACTTAGTTAAAACTAAAACCAGTGCCATTTTAGTGCTTTGTCAGTAAAACTATAGAAGCAACAATTGCAGTATTTCCTTCAGTTTACACAACTTTTTGAATCTCAAATATTCAAAATTCGACATATTTTGGAACACAAATTCCCTCACGAACATTTTTCCTAATCTTTTGAAGGATAGGATTTAAGTTAAAGTAAGCTCTGTTTGGCCAGATTAATAATTTAAAAAGTACACAGGGTCTGTGTAAGGCTGTTGCATTAGCACAAGGCCAGCGATTACAGACATCATTTAATTCTTAACTACTTACCCAATAAGAAATGAGGTTGAAATTGTTTAAGGTTGCACCACTCACTGACATAAAGTATATTAAACTCCACAGGGCATATGCTCCCACTGATTTTTTACACAGACTATCTCGTGAATTGCAATGGGCAGTCTGACCCAAGCTAGCTCCAAATGTCTCCTTAACTGAAAGAATCTCTGATTGAAAATGCACCATCTCTAGAATTAAAAGAGAAAAAAGATTTTCAGGATTGGATGCTTCCAACTGAGCCCTCAGATGCAGGCAATGCCCACTGAAGTCAGGAAGTTGCAACCACGTGATGGCAAAATTGTGTCCCCAACGTCTCACAGTTCAGTTCCACATCCTCATGCCCACACATTTTTGGCACTGACTTTAATGGGAGTTTCTCAGGCAGAAGGAAGGTAGAATATGGTCTTCAGTTTGCTGACTGCAACAAGGCAACATAAAATGGATACAAGCTTTAAAAAAAGTTTTAAATAGTTTCATAATTAGAAGGAAAAATATTTGTGGACAAAAAATGAAGCTAGTATTAACAATTTTAAAGGGGGATGGAAGAAAAAGAAGCTGTGTTACAGCAGCTGCAGTGTGTTAGAGAGTACAGAGGACTCTGTTATGGTCAGTTTCAATGGAAGTATTAATTTTCTACCTTGCACCTAAATATTACAGTGATGTGTGCCTAGATATATCAATAAAGAAACAGACAGATTAAAACACTAGGAAACTTAGCCTCTTTAGGAAACATATTCTTCACTCAGCAAAACAATTTTGAATCATCCAGATTAGGTAAGTTTTTATATAAATGTGATTCTATTTATAATCCCCTTGTTTTTTTGTTGGTTTTTTTTTTAAACTTGCATAGGTTCAGTAGAATACACCAAAATTATTGTGTAACATTTGGTATTCATGTTACATTTAAATAAAGTTTATTAAAAAAAAACAATTATATTAAATACAGACTAACAGAATATTCATAATATATTTTACAGAAAAATAGCCACGTCTTTATTTTAGAAACACGCTTCTCTAAAAAGTTCTTTGAGATTTTTATAAAACATTTTACCCGTGAAGATAAGTTTCCCGTCAGACCTGTATAAAAAAAGCTTAAACTTTAAATCCTTGGGTTTTTAATGTTTTTACAGGCTTACAATCTATAAATTCTTTAAAATAAAACAGTATCTTTCGGGATCAAATTGGTCACAGGCCATTCTTTAAAAAGTCAGTGGAGACTCCCTGAATCCATTCTGAAGTGCCTTTTCTTTTTCTATCTGGGGATCAATAGTGCAGATTTACTTGGGAATTCAGAGCTCCCTATATGTTCTATAGAAAGCTGGAAGTGTGTCAGTGGCAGGGTGCAGCTGCGGAGTCCCTCGAGTCAATGAATCCCAATATCAGTAGGAGGCAGAACTCATAACTCCAAGTCCAATGCAGTCCACGCTTTCTCCAGTCCCTCCAAGGTCTCTGATGGGTCAAACTGGCACACAGATTCCATAGGAGATGGCTTCTGACACTCATTTGCTTTCCAAGTTATAGCAGTGGACATCTCCTTTTCCTTTACCATCATATCCAGGGAGTGGCTGTCCATACTTATCCACGCACCAGCAGTAACCCCTCTTTCGGCCTTTGGAAGGGCGGCACTGAAATAAAATATAGTATCAGGTTAGCTCATGTTTCCCTCTGGTACAGTAGGGATTCCAGTTCATTCTAATTCCTTTGATAGCTTCAGTTTTATAACCTGGCCATATCAAAACTGGTCAGTAGTAAATGAATTCTTATTAGTAGTATTAACAATTGTAATGAAATTTTACTTCTGCTACCAGCCAACTGTTAGGGATCTAATTATCACACAGTAAAACTAATCCCTCCAAGAGAAATTATACAGCAGGGTTGTCTACTATTGACTAATGCCAACTTCAGTGGACCAGGGGAACAACAGTAAGGTTCTATTTCGGCCCTTTCTTTGTCAAAGAAACCCAGATTCCTTCTAGAACACAAAGGGAAGACATGTTTGACAGAGACTGTACTTCCAGGAACAACACCTCAACTTGGAACTGTTTGCCCAAGGAATGTCAGTACTGTCCCTGAAATTTATTAGCAGATACATAATCCTCTACAATAGTTAGGTATATTAAAATTTTACAGGTAAAGTTTGACATTGAAACTTTACCTGTAAATTTTTCTAATAATAAAGTTGACTAAACATTGATCCATAATATAAACAATTTCTAGAGAAATCTGCTGCCTAGTAGAACTTGTTACAAACTAACTGGTCATAAAAGAAAGGAAAGCTTTCCCTGGGAAATTTTTCTATCATCATAGAATCTGACAAATACATTGTCACCTACAAAAGTTTATGCTTTTCTGAACTAGGTAGTCTTTAAGGGTGTCTACATACATGCTCAGGGGGGGCGGGGAGAAGAGGGCATTTTAATTAGAGCAGTTCTTGGGAGCCACTTTAATTAAAACCCCTGCAGCATCTTGTGTATTCAGGGTCCCCCATTTCAAAATGGCAGTGTGGACATTTTAACTAAAGTTCGTTTGATGAGCTTTAGTTAAGGCACCCCTGCTGCCACTTTGAAACACAGGACAGTGAATACATGAGACGCTGCAGCACACTGGAGCATTCTGATTAGAACGCTCGATTAATCAGTTTGATGCATTCTGATGTATTCTAACTAGAGTGTGTTGCAGCATGTGTATAGGCACCCTAAGGTGCTACCTTAACCTAGTTTTAAGCACTTGTTATGTAGCTCAAATTTACAGCTCTCCAGGACAGGATTATCCCAGATCCATGTTACCCAGCTCATGTTACACTAAGCAGCAGTGGGCCCAATCCGGGCTAGCAGGGGAGGAGTGGGTGGGGTATTTACACTAAGGTGAAGCCTAGAGTGAGCTGCTGCTCCCTGCCCTTCCCAGCATCCCAGATCCCTGAGCACTGCTCCCCATTCCCCTGGGCTTACTTGTGGCTGCTTGCACTACCTGTCCTGGGGGAGCAGGGTTAACTTGTCGGCCTGGCTGCTGCCACTACTCTCTGAGCAGGCTCAACCTGGAGAAAAGCAGCAGCCTGGCAGCAGGGGCTGGGCAGGCAGGTTACTCCTTCCCTGCCTGCTCCCTTGGCATATACAGCATGGACAGCCACAAGTAATGGGGGAGCAGGGGGAAGCCTGGAATGGGAGGAGAATTCTTACCTTTCAGTCCTTCAGGTCTCTGCTGGCCTGAATTTTGACTGATCAAAACTCAAGTTAGCACTAACACCGATCAACAATTGTTCGGATCAGTGTAAGGTGTAAGAAGGCCCTATCATGGCTAACTATCTACTGCCTCTATTTAGTAAAGGAAACGATAGTGTAGTGTTTATTCCATCATGCACAGTGACCATAATCTTCTCAGCACCCCAAAATAGTCAGGGCAGGGGTGCCTGATTCATTCTGTCCCCAGGCCAGATCAAGACCGCAAGTCCTCCTCACAGAGTACAGTTAATGTAGCTGTTGCTTGCTTCCTGCTAACAACACTCATCCCCAACAGGGCTCCACCAACTGTCACTATACTTAATCCAGCTAAAAGGAAAGACTATAACCATTAAGGTTGCCATCTATTCAAACATGGAGCACTTTACCCCCATAGTCATAGAATGTCGTATCAAGCATTCCTTAGTCAACCTATGTCTCATGATGGGGGTTTCACCAAACATTTGATGCAGAAACGGGTTCATCAGAGATAAATGAAGACCAGCCACAATTTTAAAGAGGCCATGACACAAATTTACCAGGTTCTTCCTAGATTACAACTAAGCACAGCTATGCTTAAGTGAGAATAATGGTACAATTCGGTGTGAAAATCCTTGCTCCCCTACATCTTCCAGCACACGGGAAAATAGCCTATGTCCTCATTCCTTACCCTGAGAAGGGACAAAGAAATTAATTTTCCAAAGTAGATGAGTGGTCAGATGAACACTCTTCGCTGGTGTCTTTTATTCACAGCCAGTGAAATTTATCTCTGTTCAGAAAGTTCACAGAGGACCTACCTATACATGTACCATTTTTGTTACAACTTTGGATAGGAAGATCACATATAATGACATGTAACATAATTACATGTGTAATAATACAATGCTTTTTCTTCAGGGCCTCAAGTTCTTAGTTCTTATCACGCAATGATAATTTAAATGGTACTTCTTTGAGCCGACTGCAAGATCAGGTTGAAATAAATAAATGGGTAGGGTTTTTTAAGGGAAAAAGCATAACTAAAAAATTGAGTCTTCACTGAAGTTACCTTAGTAATTTTCCTGATTCACTGATTATCTGTAGCTGAGTTACATGCTAACTATTCAGATAGTTTTCTATAGTCATATCTCTAAGAATGGAACCAGTATAGAATTCACCCTTCAACAAAGTTTATCCAAAGCTAAATGAAATCAATAGGAATCTTTTAATCCAGCATTAGCTTTAATAAATGCTGGATTAAACCCTAACAAAACTAACACTAACATTTACTATTCAGCACCTTAAAACTCTTTATCTTCCAAATAATGTCATTAATAAATGTGATTTTCATGATTCCAACATTATACGAGAAACTGAAGTACAAATGCAGCCAGTGATTCTCCCTAGTAAAGGCAATAAAAACATTGAAAAAAAAGGATTTCTTTTTTATCTAAATCAGGTTTTTTTAATTTAATTGTAGGATATGTTAACGCTCAAAGATATCATCATGGAATAGGGATTATAATTTCTAATTATACACTGTTTGAGACAATATGTTCATGTAACCTTTTTAGAAAAGTTTTATAAATAACTCACAACAGACCATGGATTATATTATGGACCCAATTTTATGGGGTTCCCAGGGGCTCCTCTACATATTAATAAAGATTAAAGAAAACCACTCCACCCAATGGGACTCCATGCTCACTCTAAGATCGCATTAAGCATCTCTGCGATGCTTAGTTTCATTTATCAAAGTGTGGTTTTGTGTCTCCAGAGATAACATCCTTGGTTAAGAGCAGTATATGGAGATGAGAGATAACAGACCTGATTACCTACTTATCAGCCCTATTGTCTCTCTGCAAGTCTGAGTACACAGAGTCAAGTCCTTACCTCTCTCTAAAAGTGCAAAATTTCAATAAGTTAATTGAATACAGTGGAGTAGATCTGGGCAAGAAGGAGAAGTCTGGAGATAAATGCAAGGATGGAGGGGCAACAGAAACAAAAGAGAAACATTTTGAACAGAATGTTGTTGAAATTGCAAAAGACTTCCTTAACAACCACTTTGCAGCAGCTGCTCTGAAGAAAGCAGGAGGAACCAAACTAACTCTCCCACAAGATGTACAATGCAACTCAGTAGGATATTATTTTGAGTGAGGTTACATCAAACGACAAGAATACACTTTTTGCAGAAAACAATGATTAAATTGAGGCTTCTTGACCAGTGATTTAAATCATAATTTATATTAATTTGATTTAAAGTAAATCCACCCTGCTGAAAATGCAGGTATCAGATGTAGTCATGATTAGTTAAAGAGCATTAACATATGTGTAGATAAAACCTGTCACTAACTTTAGTGCCGGGTCTTCCCAGTAACTAGGGGCATGTGGCAGGGCAAATTGTTTATTAAATAAACAGGCATGTTTATTTCAAACTCAGTGTCTTTATACCTATTCTTCACTTCCATGTGCTCAAGGACAGCGAGGTCTGACAGTTAGTGGGGAGGGGGTGCAGGAGAAAGAAGTTGGTGGGGGACAGAAGACAAGGGGACCACCTGTTGCCCATATCTTTATTTTCCCTGCTGTAGCAGTGGGAGGGGGACAAATTTAAGGCAAACCTCTAATAATTAGATTCTATACCTGGAAAGTTATAAAAAAAATGTATATTTTTTATATACAGAACCTAATTACTGGCAAGGGTTATCTTATATTCAGGGTCATCTTGTATTCAAGAAAAATGTGGTATTAAAATGAAAGATGTCCTATAACTGCTGGAGATGATCATGGTATTACTTCATCAAATTCATTCCCAACTGATCTTTTACCTATTAATAGTGTCACTGTGTCTTTTTTTAGTACTTTTTTTGTGCTGGTCTCCACTGTACTGCCTGACACAGTACAGACATACGTTATACTAACTGGATTATATCCGTCTACAAAACTTAATTTGCATTTGTGAGCACCCTTATTTTCCTAGGGTCTCAGATCATGTATTAGTATTTACTTCATAATCATAATAACCTGCAAGATGAGTATTATTATGATAGTAAAAGTAGGCACAAAAGCCATAATCTTGCCAAGTGCTCTGTATGGACAGACCTTTGTGTTCATGCTAGGTTTAGATATTTGATCAGTCAAATAAAGTTCAAGCAATTGATTGGTTAAATATTGCTAACAAATTATAAAATCGCCAACAGATCCAACTAATAAACAGGAAATAAATACAATAATGCTTTGTTATTCATATACAAAATATGCAAAATATATAGCAGATTAGAAGCCTACTTCAACCCCAAGGATTCCTACATTTCTAAGCTGTAAAACGCTAGGTCAATTCATACAACAGCAAGTGCATGCAGTTATTAATTACTCAAACTGATGGATTTTTTCCCCCCATTCCAGCTATTCATTTTAGAAAGATACATTAGTTCATATTTTATATTTTTTGACTAGTAAACTGCATCCTCAATACCTGTCTGGGAGTGAAACTGTATCAAGATCTGATAATCTGATAATCAGCACGGGTTCATCAGTGGCAGGTCCTGTCAGACCAATCTGGTGGCTTTTTATGATCAGATCACTAGATCATTAGATGCAGGGGTAGCAGTGGACATAGTTTTCCTAGACTTC